GTTAATAAATTATGATCCTACTAATTTTAGCCTAAAATAAATCATATAATAAAATTATATTGCACAATATTATTATTATTACAATATTTGACTTTTAAGTTGATATCAAGATACTTATATATCATATAGAACAATGAAAAAAGGTTGATTAAAATACAAACTTGTTTATTTTTAAGATATCATTGTGTAAAAAAAAAACAATAATATAAATATAATGTATTTTGATGAATAACTTTGTTCAATATTTATGACTTGTGAATAAAATTCATTAAATATTTTGAAATGTACGTTACCTATATTATCATATAAATAAAGTGATTTAAAATTAATATTTAGTGAATAGTCTAGCTATATGATAGTACTTGTATTTTATCTAAATTTGAAGGAGTAAAAACCACAAAAATATTTATTACTCAAAAATGGTTGTACTCTTTAAGTACTATTTTTTTTTTCATCTATTTTATAAAAATATCAAAAATACTATTAAAATTAAAAAAAAAGAATATACAATATACATATATATATATATATATATATATATATATATTGAAGAAATAAATTTTTTGAACAAGTTAATTGATTTTATCGTAATTTTTCAATGCTAAAATGTTTAGTCATTTGCATCCATTTTCAACTTTTAATTCATCTACTTATTACCTAACCTGCATAATTGTACTTTATCTATAATAAATTTATTTTTTAAAAATTAACTGAGTTTTGTAAAACCATTGTATGAGTATTAATATTAAATTTATAATGATTTCATATTTTACATATTTTTTTTAATAATACCCTCAAATAATATTCATTGAAATGTTTAAGTATATGTATAAGTATCTATATTTTGATTTAAATTGTACAGCTTATAAGATTGTGATTTATGAATATAATTGATAAAAAAAATTAAAAAAAATACTCCATTGTGATCGAGGTTAGGTAAAAAATTGTTATATAGTATTCCCGCAAGTAATTTGAGAACTGTTTTTATACGAATATAATAGAAATTGAAAAAAAAAAAAAATGGTAAAATAAAGATCAAAAAGAATATGTTTTGTGGTCTGTTGAATCGGTAGAACGCTTTAAGGAATTGTTTTCTCTATTGTATTGGCATTGTTTGGTGGCCACGTTGCTTCATTAAATTATTGATTGAATATTATTATATTACTTTATTTAAGTATTAGAGACATTATTCTAATGCGTACCTAATAAGCACTTAGTGTTAATAATATCAAATCATTGGCACGTGTAGCAAACGACTTTTCCACATGTAATGGAAATTTATTTTATGGTTTACAATAATTGATCCACCAATTATATGATATTTTAGTTTAAGTAAAATGTATAAAGTTGTTGTCTTCTCTCCAACTAAAGACAAATTCCACTTACCACACATTCGACAGGCGGGTGAGTGTGATATACATCATTTGAACACATTGCCTTAGAGTTTCGAAATATCCTCCTCACCATGTCACTGCACATAATCCGTCCGCTGATTATTACCACCCCTCTTCTTAAGATCAATGGTTGTCAGAGATGAAACGAGAAGCTTGCCTCGGGCGGCACGCGTCGACAAGTGCAATCGACAAATCTTGAAATATTAATAAAGTTTATTTAAACTGTACATATTCATCGACGTGATATAATTTTATTTCTGTAATGGTAATAACCGAAAAAGATGACTATGTTGTGCAACTTCTGTTTCAGTAGAAACAGGCCGTCGCTAACATTTTACGCTGCTACCGTAATCATGACTATATTATATTATTATATCAATCGCACGAATGAGTTATAGATTCGCCATGAAAATATGATTATATTAAACCAATTTAAAAAAATAAATATACGATGTAAAGTGTTGACGGTGTTTTCCAATGTTTAAAATATTAAAGTGTTGGATTTCTGCAGAGTAGATATAATAAAATATAGTGCGCGTGTGAACTGGAAATGTTTTTATTTTATCTTTATATATATATATACGTTATACGCCATTGGAATGGACATTTTGTTCAAACGATTCTATCGCTATAATAATTGCTTCCACTGCCGTGTAATAAGACTGCCGAGCATATGCATTAAAACTTTGTACGTTTGAATATTTACCAGAAATTTTTAAAACACAAATACGCGCATATATAACTGGCTGTTGTTACTCGGATTTCAATTCGATTTTTTGATACAATTTTAACTATCTGTTTGAAAAAAAAGTGAACAACAAACAACTTTTAGTAATGAAATAAGTTCGGATTTTCAGGAATATTTTCTTAACAAATATTATTATACATAATGCGTAATACTATAGTAAGCATATAAAAAAAATGATCAACATTCAATGTTGCACTTTTACGTATTTGTCTCAAAACTTAAAAACTTTGTAGGTGATTTTTTTATTATTTTTTTTTTGATCATACAATATGAAATATTGTAACTATTTACATTCAAATTCGCTTATTATGATGCCGTATATAACGATATACCGGGTAAAATGATTCCAAGCAATGTATTTGGTTGATTTTATGTCTTATGCGTAGTTACTTTTTATAATCCAGATATAACGATCAGATTCTATAGGTCCCTTGAAGATCATTATAAACGAATTTGGCTGTAATCATATTAATTAAAATAAATTCAATACCTATATCAAATATTTAAACTTTTTTATTTAAATTAAATTAACTTTTTTTTATATAATATTTTAGGCTTTTTTTATTATTGTTTTCAAAATTGTTACTCACTATCATATATTATAATATCTTGCCGTTAATATATTATAATTGAATGATTGCATTTTTAAGGTATTTTCATTTTACAGATCCACTACCTACATTACTATGTGGTATTGTTATTAAGCACCATCTGTTTTAGTTGAAGAAAATATGTAACGTAAGTCTATAATTACATCAATCATACTGAAATCGTGAATATGCTTAGAAAGCTTTCTTTATAAAGAAATATGTGGTTATCAATCGTTAAAAAAACAAAAAAGATACAAAATCATTTTATGCTTTTCTTGTTTAAGTTGTATAAAAGTAAGAACAGAGTGACGTACTACAAATTGCAAATTGCTATTTTATATGATTCAATTTATTTACTTGATGAAAATACGACAGAAAAATGTAATACAATGTAGATATACCGATTATATTAAATAGATAATATCGTAAAATATCGTTATTTTTCGTTTGGGCATCCCGTTGTTGAAAATTTGAACTTCAAATGTTTATAAAACAAACATCAATCAAGAATTGTTGATATTTTTAATTGTTGTAAGAAAAACTTTAAGAATCGTGGTCGTCAATTATTTCAAGCTTCAGCTAATGCCTAATACTTCAGGTATCAAAACTTTATGCTTGTAAACAACAAAATAATTTGCAACTTTAATTTTAACGAATTTTCTCAGTATTTGAACTTGGAATGCTTATAGGAATAATTTATAATAAACAATTTTACCATCGTTTAACAGATAAAAAATTACGAATAGGAACCCTTATAATAAATAATCAAACTTTTTGACCAAAAACAAAAAAATATCTGTTTAAATTGAAATATACAAAAAAAAAAAAAAATGAATTCTATAAATAGCTTAAGAAAGTCCAAAAAAAAAAAAAATTTTAAAATTATGTGGCATGTATAAAATGCAAAATTAATGTAAAAGTATCGAGTCTTTACGATTATTCCTTTATGAATAATAATAATAATAATATAATAACAAAATACAATTATGTTATGACGTGGTAGTATCACTTTAATTTGCTTCCAAATAAATTATATAGGCCTGTGTTTACAAATTCTTTGTTAATGAGAATCTTAATTCCCTTATTTCCGCACTTGAAATTGTGGCCACTTATAAGATTATTTTTTAGAGAGAAGTAAAAGGATAAAAGTACAATGGTAGTCCAAGTTTGTGAAACTTAAGAGGCGAGGGGGTTATAAGAAAGAATATTTGCTTCTAACAATATTTAAGTTCGTCACATCTTTGACATTGTATAAAATATAATATTGTATTTCAAGAATCACGCTGTATATTACGAGTATGTTAATATTATGTTCATATGTGTAACAATTTTACTTACAATGTTGCTGTTGAAATATGAACAAATCTATAAAAATATCTTAACATTAATATTATTTATTGTTAAAATGTATATTATATATATATATATAATAAAAGGTAAATATTCGTTATTAATAGGTAGCTAATATAATGTATTTATAATAACTTATGTAAGCTAAAAATATCAAGATTATAAACATTTCCAATTTTAAACATTAAATTCTTTTAGTTTTTTATTACTATTGTCTAATCACATTGACGGTAGTACATGGTATTATCGTTAAAGGCGATAAGTCGTAATAAGATTGTATCTATCATAAACTTTGAGAATCAAGGTTTTGAGTCGTTAAAAATGCGATAATTTTCACACGGTGTTGTATAGACTTACAACCATAACGTGGAAAACGGCAGTTGGAAATATCTACTCTGCACACTGTTTAGCGATCTAATAATGAATAATGTACAATAAAATTGTCATAACACTGTGCCGGTTAAGTTAGGCGGTCAGCGATTAAAATTCGACGGGAATTTACGGGTGTCCCCTGCACGATAGCGTTAAGTAGCGTGTCGTTATAATTCGTTTGTAAAACAAAACACTGCGAGGTAGACACCGCACACGTATTATTATCTGCCTACCACCAGAACGACCACGGTAAGCTGATGTTAACCGGGTTATCTCTTATACTTTATCGGTAGGTATATTGTTGTTATTTTTATTATTATGGTGATAAGACGATATATTATTATTATTCGCGTGTGGGTAAATTGGCCGGCGGCGCGGCGGCGGGCACACACATGCGCCGTGTATTGATTGCCGGCAACAACAACGCGTCGGAGTCGCGCGCTCTCGCGTTACAGACCGTTAAATAATCGCCGCGAGAGTATAAAACGGGAAAACCCGAAAGCCACGGCGATCACAAAACCTCAGTGTCTTGCCCCGTGCCGGCGACATCCCTTCGCGCCCGTCCGCTGCACAAGTCGCAACGAACGATTTTTCTCGCGTCTTCGCTGTACGATTCGAAAACAAAAAAAAAAAAAAAATCCCTAAAAGCCAAAAATTTTTTCCCATTTTTCCCGAACGCGTTAGAAAAAAAAAATAAAAAAAAATACCGAGAAAAATTTTCATTTATTTTCCACCGTTTTTTGAAATTTCATCGTAATATTCACGTCCCTTGCACGTTTCTTACTTATTTCACCGTTGTCTTCGTCCTGGCCCCTAACCCCGTGTAGAGCAGTGACACCGCATAAGACTGTCCGTCGCCACACGTCACCAGAGACTGGGGAAAGCTGTGCTTCCACTGTCTTCGCCGTTCACACGAAGTAAGTACCTATAATATATTGGTCTGATTCGTATATTTTAACTTGGTAGGTACTTGATGACTACGTATTCTATCGAACGACCCGTTACTTTGTTGAGTAGATTTTAATTATTGTATAAAGTATATATATATATATAGATATATACTATGTTATAAAAATACCACGTGTGTGCAGTTGAAAAAATAATATTTATTTACGTTGCTAAACAAATAACGATTCCATATACGATTAATCTGTACTCAGTCGAGATATTAAAAACAGACTTATGTTTATTCTAAAAAAATTCTAAATAGAATTTTAAAACGATGTGCACTTAACTAGATTCAGCAGTGTTGTTCATGTGGATGCCATGTATATTCATTTTTGCGTTTATTTTTAATCGCTCGAAAAGTTTAAATAAAAAAAATAAATTAAAATAGGTAGGTCCACATAATTGGATAATCAATATAGATCCCCCTCACTCTATATATGACTTGTAAATTATAATACCTAATTATAATAACAATGTAGTAGTTCGATTTTAATTTATTTATAAAATGCGTGTTTAGCAATCATGTTAGTAGGAAAAAATCATAAAATATAATGTTTCAGATTTGTATAGTAAACATTACTAAAAATACATAGTTTCAAAGTTATTATTTTTTAATCTACATAATGATAATATACATTTTATGTTATGTTTATTATGTAAATTATAACGATTGTACAATTTTTACGTTTGACAAAATTATTTATTTTCTAACACAATTATTATTTCGGATTTTTTTTACTATTATAACATTTGTGATAATAATATTTAACATTTTATTCTTCATGGTCAATAAACGATCCATTTAAATAAGAATATATACTTTTTATCGATTCAATGTAAATTTAATAAAAGCAAGAATAAATAAATATTAATACAACACTGGTTTTAGGATTTTTTTTTTTTTTTATTTTTTTGTTGTAATTTAGAATCATTTTTGAAAATATAGATACTTTCATAATTTTAGGCAAAAATTGAATTGTAAAATTATAATGGTTTATTTTGCGTTTTTAACTTATATCTTTTATTTTTTAGCATTTTATTTTTACGAGTTTGATGTTCAAATTTTGAAGGAATTGAACATTAAAAAAAAAAAAAATTAAAAAAAATATTTATTTAAAATTTAAAATCTTGTTTTATGTATAATACATACAATTTTAAAAATATTTAACTAAAGTAATTTACTGTATCTTACGGTTAGGTTAGGTTAGGTACTAATATATAATATATAAAAATTAAACCTATCGAATTATGAAAGTATAATATGATAAACACTTAAACTATCCTTAGAAATAAAAGCTGACCAACTAATTTCCATAATTTCTTTTGCTTAGAATAATTCATTTATAAACAATAATTTATCATTGATATCAAATTTGATTATCATTACCCTTAATATGAAGTACCTACATTCAAATCGTATTATAAAGCAAGTTCCTTGTTTTTAATTCAACATATTTTTATACCATAATTAGGTAATCGAAATCATGAAATTATAATTATTGCATGATATTTAACAATAAAAGACTTAAAATAATAATTTACTGTGGTAAATTTATAATAATTTGTTGTGTTTACTGTTTTTTAATATTTCAAATTGTAGGCCATATAGTAATGTGTTGGTATTTCATTTGTGTAATTTTTCTTTTTGAGCAGATAGTTGTCTGTATGTCACCACCTTATTAGGTATAGAAGAAATTCCTAAAAGTGTTTAGCAACTTTTTAGGTACAAAACTTACCTATTTGTGTGGTAGAAATTTAAACCTAAAAAAATAAAAAATACTACTGGTGACTTATAAACAAATACAAAATTACGATTCATTGTCATTTTTTTTAGTACTTTATTGTGATTTAAAAAATGAAAATAACGTTTATGTTTATCATTAAATAAATTAATATAAATAATAAATAAACATTTTACTGTTATCAAAAAATATAGTGTTATGCTATACAAATGTTAGGTATATGTATATTTTTTCAAAAAGAAAAATTGTATCATTATCAATGCATCGATGTTAATTATCTTAAAAAAATAAATACAAATGGAAATTAATAAATGAAAACAATTCCATAATTTCAATTAAGTAATTTTTTACACAATCATATATTGCATATATAAGTTATAATATTATAAACATAAATTGTTAGAAAATAATATATCCAATATTAAAAATATTATATGTATGTATTACTATTGAATATATAGGTAATACTTAATAGTGCTCTGTAATACATTTAATATTTCAGTTTAGGTACTACGATTATTTAAGATTTGTTTTAAATTTAATTATCATCGAATTAAACTTGAATATTATATAAATTAATTTTTTTACGAAATATCAGATTTGATTATAATGTTACTTCGAGTTTTTATATTTTTTAATTTTTATTAATGTAATTTATTTACTTATTAAAATGTAATACCCAATTGTTGTAATAAATATATAGTATATACATATAACAATTATATATGTCATTAAAGTTTTGTTAGAACAAAATAATGAATTATTATTGTTAATCTCGTCAAGATATTTCTTATAGAAAATATTCAATGCACATAATATGATACTCATATTATATATATATATATATATCGTATGAATTGTCTCTATTTACTCGGATGTTTCATATTTCTTTTGTACAATTCTCACCAACAAAACTTTCAAAAGAACTGTGATTTTGATTCCAACAAACTTTCTCACGTTAGTCGCCGTATATCATGCCCTGTTATATACGCACTTGAATTATTATAAGCGTCAAAGAATCGTTGCAATTACACTTGGATAACTATAATACCAGGCACTTTGATGTTTAATTCAAATTATCATTAATTACGCTGTTTACTCGAACAGATTATTTATTAATTGTCTAGCAATTACCTTATATCTAATTAAAAAATACTTAATCTTTTTAATTTCATTGATTTTTATTTATTTATAATAAAAATAAAATAATTGTTAATTACTGTGCCTAACTAAAATAATTTATGTTTAAATAAAATATAATATACAATATCACAGTGTTATAAATTTATAATATATACCTATATATATCAACAAAAAATTTATTAGATCTAGGATTTTAAATAAGTTAATAATGTAAATATCTTATTTATTTTTTGTTAAATATAATAAAGTTTTCCTAATTTAAAATAGAAATTGTGAATATTTAATTTGTTAAAGACATTTAAAAAATGTAATAAGTTCTATTTTAAATTAATTATGCTTGAAAAGGGGTTTTTTATTGAGTTTTTTTTCAACGATTATTTAGCCAATTGAATATAGTTGCTATAATTTGATGTACGTTTATTTAAATCGCTGGTAAGCAATACGTTCAGACGTATTTTACATTTTATTATTTACTCTAAGTTCGTTCTACAAGTAATGGTAGTACAATTTAATCAAGTATCTGTTTGAATTCGTATTTAAGTTTGTCTATTCAAGATTGAAATTAAACTAGGAGCGTCCGAAAAAAACTACCATGGTGATATTTTTTGCCATCGAGAGTATCATAATTTCTGCTGAAAAATAAATTACCTTAAAGTTCCAATATTATAGAAAATAATATTATAATATCACATTTATTGTGTTTATATATTAACATGATAATAATTATAAAATAACGTTCATCATAATTTATTGTTATTGCTGTTCACTAAGATAGTATTCACAGTTTTTCAATACGAAACATTTCGAAACATCGTTCTGAACAGCAATATACGTATCAGTATTGACAACATTTTATTACATATAATAATATGGTATTAAAATGTTTAACATACCTATACTGAAATGCACTTTCAGTGCCTAAAGTCCTTGAGGTATTTATTTAAATCGCGAGCAACTTTTACATAAGTAGCCACTATTTTCAGTTTTATCACCATCCACACGCATACGTATATCATAATAATTCGTTTCATACTTACATAACATTTATTATGTAATATTTTTAGTTAGTGGTGTCTTATTTTCATTGATTATTTTACAGCTTCATACAGCGAAATTTAATGTAGTATGTTTAAAATCAACTATGAATTATAAATTGTACGTATGTATGCCCAACATCATTTTTAAAGTAAATTAAAGCAATTTTATACAATATAGGTATTATTCGGTGATATAAATGTTTATTATATTATTATTTATTATACCTTGTTCATTTTAATGCATTTTTGTGACGTTTTTATTTGAATTATTTCGATTAACTATAATAATACATTACTCATTATTTTTTTTATAATTATTTATTTTAAAAAGCATTTTTAATTACAATAAGTAGTCAAAATAGTTACAAATACTAGAAATATGATTAGAAAATGAAAATTCTATGTATCTATATTATGTTTATTTTTTATGTTGTGTGTGTACATTTGAGTATTATATATATATATATTTTTTTTTTATTGAATTTACCTCATTAGAAAATTGTTTAGCTTAATTTCAGAGCTAGAATCCACAATGTCTAAATTTTAAACTCAAGTTATTAGTACCTATATAGGTAGGTATTTGAATAATTGATCAACCTTTATTTGAAAATTAAATTATTTACCTCAAATATACCATATTGACCTACCCACAAATAAAATATATATTAGTATATCGTATTAGAGTTTAACAGTTAGATGATTCATATATAATGTAATATATAAATACATGTTCTTTTGGTAATCGTTATGTTTATATTTTTTTTTCCCGATAAACGGTTTTGTTTTTGCTACATCTATTGTCTAATGAATATTTAATATACCATAAATCACATTAGATAAACAAACACGGTTGAAGGAAACTAGAACATTTCAAAGCTTCAAGGTTCTTAAGTATTTAGTATTCCTCAGAACTATTCATATATTATAGGTACTAGAATATTTTCTGAGTTTTGAATAAAATATAAATAAGTTAAATGTTTTTTTATAACCTTCTATTTTCTCACATTGATCGCCCTTGAAATTTCTTTAACTTGAAAATATAATTAA